TTCTGTTGGCTTTGCCAGACCTTGTGATCTCTAAAGCCTGAGGCTATATACTCTGTAATCATCTCTGGACACCGTAGCTGTTAAACTAATACTGTGATTATCCTCAGGGTTCTGATCCAGCATGGGAGCCTGAGACGAGGTGGAGATGTGTTCTTTACTCCACCGGTCCAGTAAGATGGACTGCCATCCCATACCTTAGCACCGCCACCCTCCAGCCAGTTTTCTCATCACTGCAGGCTGCTTTGTAGCCTTGGATGGCTCATCTTCTAAGAGGCCCTGCTTAGTGTTGGAGGAGAGGGAGGCCCTTTTCCATTGCATTCTCTTCTTCAGCATGAGGGTCAGGAGTCAAAGCCCAATTCTAGCATTCTGGTCCTAAAAACGCTGTGACAAGTTAGTGTCCTACAGATTAGATGCCCAAGTTCTCAACAGAACGCTGGCCTTGGACATAGTTTCAGATTCAGAAATGACTTGTGGCCAGGATGAAGTCTGACCCATTTGTAAATAAGAAAAGGAAACCTAGATCTCAATAGCAAGGGCTGCAAAGAGCAGGCTGTAGGCTTCCCTGATCTGCCCCTTATCCCTGTGAGTAGTTTGAGAGACATAGCCCATACTATCCACTAGTGTATTATCTGACTAGTTCCAAGCAGAGTACACTCTGGCTTAGGTGACCTTTATGGCCTGAAATATTTTCTGTCTAGACTTTTCCATTAGAAATTTACCAAGACCCTGGTCCTCTGGGCAGAGAGATCTTTTAATGTTATTAGTGATGGTATTGCATTAAACTTGCCTTTTTGTTGTTTTCTCTTTTTTTGCTTCACTTTGTTTATGGGTGACAAATACTTTTGAGCACTGCATTTTAGAACCTATAATTATACAGGTACTCTTTTAATGGCTGCTCTAGAAATTATATTTAGATCTAACTTTTCATGGTTTAAAAGTTATTCCTAAGGTTGGGGAGATGGCCCAGTTGATACTTGCTATGCAAACATGATGACCTGAGTTTGATCCTCAGCATTCATCTAAAAAAAAAAAAAAAAAAAAACAAACAAAAATAACAACAAAAAACCAGGGGAGGTGCATCACCTGTAATGCTAGTGTGAAGGAGTCAAAGTATCCCTGGGACTCACTGGTTACCAAGTGTAAACTGAATAGGCTCCAGGTTCAGTTAGAGTCTGTTTCAAAAAAAAAAAAGAATGATTACAGAAGACACTTGGCAGCAAACCCTGATTTCATCTCTACACTGTACTTCCAGACACACAGACACATGCACGCACGCACGCACGCGCACACACACACACACACACACACACACACACACACACACACACGCACACTCTCATACTAACATACTTGGAGTGAAACACAAAAGTATAGCAGCCAGGCTGGATGCAACTCCCAATGACTGAATATTTGAACAGTGTGTAGAATCTATATGACAAGATGACTTTGACCACACTCTGTGGCAACCAATCCTAGAAACCAAACTTCTGTGATAATCTTCCTAGAATGTGAAGGGTATGAATCTACAGATACAAAATAACAGGATCTCCAGGACACAGGACAACTGGCTATCCAAGAGGAGTGCCAGTGAGATCCCTTATCAGTGGTGTAGCAGAAACCAGAGGCAAATGAACACTGCCAAGTAAACATGAACACACTAAAGGGAAACCGTGGGTCTCAATGGGCCACACTACAGCTTCCACACTACTTTTTCCCCCCCCCCCATTTTGGTTTTTCATTTAAATTTGGTTTTGATTTTGGGATGAGAGTTGCGAGGGCAGAGGGGACAGGTAGATAAGTGGACCAGAATACATGCTGTGAAATCCACAGAGAAGCAACGAAAGTTGAAAGAAAGGGAGGGACGAAGGGAGGGAGAGAAGGAAGGAGAAAGGAAGGAAAGGATGAAGGGAGGGAGAAAATCCACTCAGAATGGCCAGGACCAGCTAACATCCTAATATTTTGTTTCTACCTCCTACTTGGGTCTGAACAAAAATTGCAAGTATACCCGAATGCTGCCTGGCACCTAGTTCATTCAAGTTTTTGTTTTTCTTCCCTCTTTCTCCCCCTGCTTTCTAATTGAAAGCTGACCCAGTATGATCTACAGGAAGCCCCAACCCCCATTCCATCCCATCTTCTGACTTTCTTACCTAGGCTTTCTGCTGTTTGCTCAAGTACCTTTTTTTTTTTTTTTTAATTAAGTTTGCATTATCAGCACAAGAGAAGTAAATTTCATATGACATTTCCATACATGTCCTTCTAAGTTTGTTCTATTCATATTCCTCTTCCAGCTCTGCCACAGTCCCACATACTCTAATTTACTCTTTTGACTTTCATGTAAAGTTGCAAGCATCCCATTAACCCTTTCCCACCTCTCATAGTATTCTTTCCTGGCCCGCATTGTGCTGATTTCAAAGGACATGGCCTCCAAAGGGAGTGGCACAATTAGGTGGTGCAGCTTTGTTGGAGGTGTGGCCTTGGAGGAAACGGGTCACTATGAAGGTGAACTTTGAGGTCATCTCATATCTGCTCAAGATACCACCCGGGGTCTATGTTCCCAGCATATCAAGATGTAGGACTCCTTCTCCAGCTCCATGTCTGCCTGCACACGGCCATGTGGCACCATGATAATGCACTGACCCTCTAAACTGTAAGCCACTCCAGTGAAATGTTTTCCTTTATAAGAGTCACTGTGGACATGGTGTTTCTTCAGAGCCACAGAAACCCAAGCTAAGACACATACATAAACATATGCAAAACTTAATCTAGACTCCGCCTATGCAGTGATAACTTGTCTTTGAGTCTTGCTTGTTTAACTTAACTCCATTTCCAGCTCTATCCCCTTAGGAAATCCTGAAACGGCCCATTTGAAGTTGCTAGAGCCTAGATAAAGTGAAAGACAAATCTGCGTTGGAACTCAAGAAACAGACACGTCAGCACACAGCCATGTTTTGTGAAAACCTGCATTGCATTGCATGGTTTAGCTAGCACCAAGCTGCCCCAGAAGTACAAGCTGTTACTACAGCAACTGCTGAGGTGCGCAATCAGGGACAGAAAGCAAGCAAAGCCTTTCGACAAGTTATTGCACCAGGTATGATAATATGGCAGAGGCAGGGGGAACCTTTGTGAGTTGGAGACTAGGCTACTCTGCACAGTGAGAAGAGACTGTCTCAAAGCAGAATGGAAGGTCTGTGCATTTCTTCACTAGCCACTGCTCTGGTTCTAAATTTCTATCAGACAAGGGAGCTCCAAGGAGCCGACTTGGCAGTCTGTTACTGTTGGTTGTTACAGTGGCAGAATGGATCCTTGAATGGCCTCACTCTGACCCTTTTGTTTACTGTCCAATGCTGGTGAGAGGGCCCAGGGCATTGCACATGCCAGACAAATGATGCACCTGAGCTACAGGCCTATATAATAACATCCTTAAACGATTACATTCTGAAAAATGGTCAGGGCTGCTAGGGGTTGGGGAAATCAGTGCAATTTGTAAGAAGAATTCAGTAATTCTCTGTGTTATTAGAACTGTTCTGGATCTTGTCTGTGAAGGAGGGGGTAGATTAGTACAAATAAAATTGTTTAGAACTCAATATGGAGACCACAACTGAGGAATGGACTATCACTATTAATTTCTTAATGATGATATACTATAGTTTTATCAGAAATTAATACCAGGGGAAACTTGGAAAATACTTTTTATAATTTTTACAACTAACTGCACATGAATCTATAATTACCTCAATAACAACAAAGTTTTTTTTTTTTTTTAAAGTAGCCAAAGAATTGAGACCAGGAGACCATGTTTTAGGAATATATTGCTCAATTTATTTTCTCTACTATTCTTTAAAAAACCATTTTATGTATGTGGATGTTTTGCCTGTATGTATGTCTGTGCATAACATGCATGCAGTATCCATAGGGCCCAGAAGTGGGCACTGGATCCCCTGGAACTGGAGTCACAGACGGCTGTGGGCTGTCCTGTTAGTGCTGGAATCAAACCCATGTCCTCTGGGAGAGCAGCCAGTGCGCTTATTATGGAGCCATCTTTCCAGTCTATCTACAATTCTTTTCACACATCTACAAGTTATATGAAAAAAGAAAAGCTGCTTAAATAAACACAAAACAGCTTTTGGGGCTGATAAGACGGGTAAGCAGATGAAAGAACTTCCCACCAAACTGCACCACTCACGTTTAAAGCCTGGACTGACTCGGCAGGGGAGAACCCACTCCCTGCCGTAGTATTTAGGTTTCTATTGCTAAGATAAAATTCCACGATTAAATGGCTTATTTCACCTTACTTCCAGGTCAACAGTCTACCACTGAGCGCAGCCAGGGCAAGAACTCAATGTAGGAATGAGGATGAAGGAACTGATGAGGCCTTGAAGGAATGCTGCTTAGTGCCTTGCCCGGCGTGGTTTGCTCAGTATTGCTTTTTCTTAAGACAACCCAGGACCACCTGTCCAGGAGTGGCACCTGTGAGCTGCACCTTCCTATATCAATCACTAGTGAAGAAAATGCCTACAGGCACTCAGCTGAGGTTCCTCTTCCCAACTATCTACAGCTTGTGTCACACTGACAAAAGACTAACACACTTCTTCATGCAAGCCAGGGCATGCAGATTGATGCACTCAATAAATAAATGCTAAAAGGTAAAAAAGTAAGATGGAAAGGAAAATTTAATAATGTACCATATTTAATTGGGACTTTTTAAAACAATGAGTAAAATAGTAGGTATTTTAGCAAGTTAGATTTGATGATTTATGAATTATGTTTAGAATGACGTTGACTTGAATGCTTATTTTGACCCAAGATGCCAGCTCTGTAACTAATCAGCAGCATTATGGGTAAACACAGTTACTGGGCAAAAGTGAGGTAGTTACTGGGGTTAGGAAGCACACAGCAATTACTAATGTGTCTGTTTCGTGGGTAAACAGAATACATAAATTCAAGAACAATAGGAAATAATGCATGACACTGATTAAAAAAAACAGAGACATTACACAATACCATTTCTAACATACATAATTCAATAGGTTGAGATTTTTATTCACTTGCTAAATACAGCACAAAAAAACTCAAAATGCTAATTATTAGTCCTTGAGTAAATATTCTAAAGAATAAATTGTTGACAAAAACTCATCTTCCTTTAAATGAAACTACTGAGAGAACTCAAGCTTGTCAGAACTCTTAGACTGTTTTGAACATTTATCACTGTAGCAGTAAAATCTTCAGTGAGTAGTACATTAACGATAAGCCAAGAGAAACAAAACAAACCAACCAAACAAACACCACAAAGAAACAACCCAGTTCAATTCTTTAGAAAATCCATTTCTATGTGGCATTTTGTAAGGTTAATCTACAGACATGGAATAGCGCAAACAGAAATAGCCATAAATAAATACTTCCTATCTTATCAGGCTTACTTACTTTTGTACTAAAACAGGATGGGGTACTGAATTTGTTAGGGTTCGACGTATCTATGATTTACAAAAATAAAGTCTTAAAGAAAACACTGGCAGCACATAACTTTACTTTTACAGTGAAAATCTGTAATAAAACTATCACAAAAAAGATAATGCTCTCAACAAAAATTGTAAGACCCATCACTGACCAGAAAGTTCTGAACAAAATGTAGGGATCCAAGTATTTAACTGTCCTTGTATTAAGCTGAACCCATTCAGCCTTCAGTGTCTCAGTTAATCAGTTTTAGTTTCTTCATTGTTCTCCACCTGTCTTTTAACATGACACTTGTTCGGTTGTTGAACTTATAATGTGACAGTATTTTAGACCAATTTCCCTCTCCATATTTCCTTACACCACACTTCAAAATTCTGTCCTCTTCCCAAAGCCATGTCTGTTGAAAAAAAAAAAACATAAAAGTTACTCAAAGAAACATTCTTTAAAGATATCTGTTAAAAATCAAAGCAATGCTTTGTTTCTTAAAAATGAAAATTATTTTCCTATATACTTTTGTAAGGTATTTATCTTACAAATTTTTATGAGGCAGGCTCAAGTATTTTGACGGACAAGAAAAAAAGAGCTATCCAAATAGGAATTAAGTAATTTAAATGAAAAAAATCAAACAGCTAGAAGCTCCAATATAACATAAAGCTAAGTGTGTCTGCCACCTTCTGCAAAGAGTTCTCTACAACAAGATCAATAGTGGACAACTGGAAAATAAAAACAGAGGTTGGCAGAGGAAACAGTAGCATGGTCAATACCCATATATTCTTAAAACCATATGGTTAATACTCTCCCTACAAGAGAAAAACTGTTCACTTATAGTTATCTATGAATGACATCTGTGCTCTATCCTCAAATCCAACTGGGAAAGATTCTGTGAGGCAGAGATTTCTGGTTTCTAGTCAGATAAGCAAAGCACTTGGAAATTACTACTCCTATGCACATGGGAAATTCAGAACAACCTAAAAACTAGACTTTCTGTCATGGGGCAGACAGAAAAGAAGCAAAGGAACTAATGGGAGCTGGTTGTGATGGATGACTGTAAATCCCAGTACTAATGAGGCAACGGAAGGAGAATCAGTAGCCAGGTGTGGTGCGCATGCCCTTAAATCCCAGCACTTGGGAGGCAGAGGCGCAGATCTCTATGAGTTCAGAGCAGCCAAAGATACACAGAGAAACCTTGTCTTGAAAGGCAGCTTAGTTACATGAGGAAGTTGAGACCAGCCTGAGCTACATGATATCGTATTTCAAATAAAAAATAATAAATACACAGTTGAGGAGCAGGTGAGTGACCCGCCTGCCAGCTAGACTGCCCCCATCCCCTGGATTCTATATCCCCAAGACCCACTCTGCCGCCCAACCCCCTCCCATCTCATCATCCTTTCTGAGGCCAGTCATTCTCCACAAGTGCAACAGGTTCCATGGGCCCAGGTACATCCTCACCAGTCTAAAGAACAGGAGAGTGACAGGCAGGCCTCTCAGCCAAGCTGCCCTACTCCCCAGAGCCTGATCCCTGGCCCTCTCCCTTGTCCACAGCCCAGACAGTTTTACAGGAGGCCAGGCTGCCCGCTAACACTCCCTACAGCCCACCCAATAAACCCAGAGTGTACCCCTTCCCCTGGGCTCCTAACCCTAACCCTGAGGGCTGAAATCAGTAAAAATAGAAACAAAGAGAATAATACAATGAAGCAAAGAATTGGTTCTTGGAGAAAAATCAACAAGACAGACAAACCTTATTCAAACTTACTAAAAGGCAGACAGAGAATATCTAAATTAACAAAAACAGAAACGAAAAGGGGGGGGCATAACAGACACTGAGGAAATCCAGAGAATCATCAGGTCATTCTTTAAAAAACTTGGACTCCAAAAATATGGAAAATCTATAAGAAATGGACAAATTTATTGATAGATAACATACACCAAAATTAATTCAAGATCATATAAACAATTTAAATAAACCTATAACTCCTAATGAAATAGAAACAGTCATCAAAAGTCTCCCAAACAAGAAAAGTCCAGGGCCAGAAGGTTTTAACACAGAATTCTAACAGAACTTCAAAGAAGAGCTAATACCTATACTCCTCAAAGTATTCCAAAATTAGAAACAGATGGAACAGTGCCAAAGGTTTTCAGGAGGCCAGTCCCCTCCTGATAACCAACCACACAAAGACTAAATGAAAAAGAATCACAGACCATTTTTTTGCATGAACATTGATGCAAAAATACTCAATAAAATACTTGCAAACTGAGTCCAAGAACACATTAAAACAAAACAAAGCAAAACAAACAAACAAAACAAAAACAAAAACCATGCACCATGAGTAAGTAGGCTTCATCCCAGGGATAGAGATAGTTCAACATATGATAATCTGTCAATGTGGTTCACCATATAAACAAACTGAAAGAAAAAAACCACATGGTCATTTCATTAGATGGTGAAAAAGCCTTTGACAAAATCTAACATTCCTTCATGTTGAAAGTCTTGGAGAAATCAGGGATACAAGGAATATGCCTAAACAATATTGCAAGCCTATATAAGCCTATATATATATATAGCCAACATCAAATTAAATGGAAAGAAACTGAAAGCAATTCCATTAAAATCAGGGACAAGACAAGGCTGTCCATTCTCTCCATATCAATTCAATAAAGCACTTCAAATTCTAGCTACAGCAATACGATAACTTAAGGAGATGAAGGAGATACAAATCAGAACAAAGTCCAAGTACCACTATTTTCAGATGATATGATAGTATACAGAAGCGATCCCAAAAATTCTATCAGGGAACTCCTACAGCTGATAAACACCTTTAGTGAAGTGGACGGATACAAGATCGTCTGGAGGTATCATTATCCCTGATTTCAAGCTCTACTAAAGAGCTAAAGTAATAAAAACTGCACGGTATTGGCATAAAAACAAACAGGTGGGTCAATGGAATTGAAGACCCATTGAAGACACCTGATCTTTGACAAAGAAGCCAAAATTATACAAACGGTACTGGCATAACTAGATGTTGACATACAGAAGAATGCAACTAGGTCTCTATCTATCACCCTGCACACACAAAACTCAAGTCCAAATGGATCAAAGACCTCAAGAGAAATGTAGTAACATTGAAGCAGAAAATGGCCTTGAGGGCAGAGGCATAGGAGACAACTCCTGCATAGAATACTAACAACACAGACACTAAGAGCAGTAATACGTGGGACCTCTTAAACTGAAAAGCAATCTACAGACTGGGGAAAGATCTTCACCAACCCCACGTCTGACAGAGGGCTGATTTCCAAAATACATAAAGATAAATTCAGTAAACTAGGTATCAACAAATCAAATAATCCAATTAAAAATGGAGTACAGATCAGCTCTAAACAGTTGTCAACACAAAAAACTCAAGTGTCTGAGAAACAAATAAATGTTCAAAATCCTTAGCCATCATTATATTCCATCTTACAACTGTCAGAATGGCTAAGATCAAAAACACAAATGATCATTTATGCTGAAGATGTAGAAGAAGGGGAAACACTCCACCATTGCTGGTAGGAATGCAAACTTGTACAGCCACTTTGGAAATCAGTATGGCAGTTTCTCAGAAAATTGGGAATCAATCTACCTCATGACCCAGCTATTACCCTCCTTGAGCATATACCCAAAGGATGCTCCATCCCACCATAAGGACATTTGTTCAACTATGTTCACAGCAGCTTTATTCCTAATAGCCAGAACCTGCAAATAACCTAGATGACCCTCAACTGAAAAAAAAAAAAAAGTGATATATTTACACAATGGCGAATTACTTGGTAATTAAAAACAAAGACACCAAGAAATTTGAAGGCAAATGGATGGAACTAGAAAAAAAAAAAAAAATCATCCCGATTGAGGTAACCCAGACTCAGAAAGACAAACAGGTCAAACAGGTATGTACTCATAAGTGGATATTAGCTGAAAAGGATAATCATGATACAATCCACAGACTCAGAGAAGCTAAGTAACAGCAGGGTCCAAGGGGGAATGCATGGATTTTCCTGGGAAGGGGAAACAGAAGAGATCTCGTGGGTGGACTGGGGGTGGGTGGGGATGGGGACAGGCGGGTTCAGGTTAGGGGGATAGATGGAGAAGGAGAGGACTGTAAGGGATGGATGGAAAGGGGGCACATTTTGGGGTCAGATAAAAGCCTGTTGCAATGGAAACTCCCAGGAATCTACAAGGATGATCCCAGCTAAGACTCCTGGCATCAGTGGATGCACAGCCTGAACTGGCCATCTCCTGTGACCAGTTTGGTGACTACCCCAACTGTGAGTCTTCCTCCAGTAACTGATGGAACGGGTGCAAACTCACAGACAAACAGGTAGAGCTTGGGGAACCCTGAGGAAGAGGAAGAGGGGGAGCTTACATGGGACTGACCTAGTCCCTCTGCACATATGTTATAGGTGGATAGCTTGTTCTTCTCGTGGGACTCCTAACAGTGGGAACAGGGATTGTCTTTGACTCTTCTGCTGACTTTTGATACCCTATTCCTCATACTGGACTACCTTCTCCAGCCTTAATACAACTTATTCTTATTACAACATGATATGCCACGTGTGATGAGATCCACGGGAGGCCCTGCCCCTCTCTAAGAAGCAGAGGAGGAGTGAATGGCAGGGGCCGAGAGAGGGAGCAGGAGGAGAGAAGGGACGGTAAACTGTGGCTGGGAATGTAAAATATAAGTTTAGTTTTAGAATATTATGAAAAAAAATAATAAATACATTTCCTGGGAGGGTAATGTACTAAAACTGAATTATGGTGGTTAACATTTATGAACCTAAAGAGTGGAAAAACTACAGGGTACAACACTGTTAAGTCTGACCTCCAGAATCTTTACCACACTTCAGGGTAAAGATACTATAAAATCCTGTGCTACTTCTGTCATGCGGAGGGGAGAAGAGTATTTTGAAATACTCCCAAGTTAAAAGAAAACAAACCACCCATTCTCCTTCATGGATGCTTATTCTCAAAGAAGCTAATTTTACAAAACCCTACCACCTGCAGTCCCCTTTAGATTTCCTCTCTTACTTAAGGAGTACTGGTGGTAAGTAGACTAAGAAGCACTTATGAAAGTCACAGCCCAGAACAAAAAAAAAAAAAAAGCTTAGCAATTAGATCACATCAATTTGCATTAAAGTGGCCTTACATAACCTGCATAAAAACAGACAAACAACCAAAAACAATACAAAGGCATCATGAGCTCATCATGTAACTCACTGATATAGCAGTACCCATTTATTATGCACAGGGCTGTCCCACACCCAGCATGTGATGTGCAGGAAGCAAATCAAATTAGCTGTTGATCATTTTGACTATTATGCTATTTGGATAGTTATCTCTGCAAAATAACTTGGAGCCACAGGAAATATTCCCAGTGGGCTGATTCTCAAAGCTCTTACACTTGAAATGATTCAAGTGCAAATAGGTTAGAAAAAACCAAACACATTTTAAACAGAGTAAAAAAAATATTCCATACACAGTAAGATAATAATGACTTGGTTTACTGATCTATTGTCAAGAGTTGGAAAGTCAGATAAACTACTGCACCAATAGTTTCACATACTGAACAAATGGCATTCTGATTACACTAAGTTGGAGAAACAATGTCAACCCTGAACTTTATTTAATAAGTTCTGACAGAAGCCTGCAGTGGTGGTGCATGACTTTAATCCCACCACTTGGGAGGCAGAGGCAGGCAGATGTTTGAGTTCAGGGCCAACCTAGTCTACAGAGTGAGTTGCAAGGCAGATGAACTACACAGAGAAACCCTGTCTTAAAAAACAAAACAAAATAAAAACCCCTGATCAAATGGTATTATTTTTTAACTTCTGTGTGGTTTTCCAATGCATTAAGAATCTTATTTAAGTTAGACCTATTAGGAGAACAAGTATAAACGCTTACTTTAATGTTTATAAATATCACTCAAATGGAGTGAAAAATACCTGTTTTTTCTTACGCCTGTGTTTCTCATCAGTGTCTGGTTGATTCTTTGAAATACATAATCTATTGCTTCCAGTGGTTTTTCTGTTTCCTTCTGTCGTTATTTTACCTACAAATAAAAACACTAACATTAACTCCTCCTTCACATTAGAAGAAAGGGTGGACTTTGCAAAGGTTACCAGGAAATTCCTATTTACTTTAGCAACTATAAGAAAATGAGCTCTATATATTTAATTCGTTTCCTTCAAATCTGGAAGCAACATAATTTGACTACACAGAAGGATCCTCTCACACCTCCAGAAACATATTTCATCACCTGCATAAAGAAGGATAAGTGCTTTTGGTAGAGGATCACTGAAATCTTTATGATATTTATTAACAGAATACAAATTCTTCTCAGATACACATCAACAACAATCACTAGGACGTACCAACAGTAGGATATGCCTACTTTAATAAACATTAAAGACTGGTAAGATGATTCAGCCAGTAAAGTTCATGGTGTACAGCCTGATTATCCAAGTTCTTTCTCTGGAGGAAGGAAAGAACCAACTCCTCAAAGCTGTCCTGACAACTGGCACTCGGGAGGCAGCAACAGGAGGGATGTTTGCTGCAAGGTCATAGCCAGCTTAGATATAGGTACTTCTTGTCTACTATAAATTATTCTCAGACCACTACAGAGTTACACAGGAAGTCAGTAATAGGGAGCTATTTAGAACAGCCTTAATTATTTGGAGATTAAATAAGACAGTTCATAGTGAAAAGTCACTTTAATTAAATGGAAATCCAAAGCAAAACACTTGGTGCATCTCCGAGGAAAATCTGGTCAGGTAAGAGAGAAAAGTAACTCATCTACAAAGATGGGATGAGTCATGTCAATGTCAGACGTCAACACTGTAGCAACTCAAAATCAATTTGTTTGCAAAGTTGTAACCAAAAAGTATTAAGAGTATTATATTTAGACAAAAAGTCTTAAAGAAACACAAAGGATAGCAGATAATCTTCAGAGTCCAAGAATTTAAAAATATAGACTTGAAAAAAAAAAAAATCCAGACAAATAGGAAACAATGAAGATGCAAAGAAAAGGGAATTCTGATTACAGGACTCATGAAGAAAAAGTTTAAACCAGCAAGGTAGAAGTGTACCAAGAAAATAATGCCATAAGCCCTGATTACACAAAACACAAGAGTGAGGCATGGTGTTACACACTAAACTCTGGAGGCCAAATAAAAGGATCACAAATTTGAGACAGGACCAGACTAAATGGCCAGATTCTGAACCGAACAAAACCACTCCAATTTGTTTAGTCTGATTCCAAACCAACTAAAAATAGCTAACTAAGAAAAACAGAAGATTGGCTTTTGGGAAGAAACGTTTGCTTAAAGCATTCTATACTCCAAAGCTTAAATTTATATTTACAGACACAAAACGCCAATTTTCAACTTCAAATACTTTATCCAAACGAAAAAAAATTATAAACGAGTGGACATGTGCGTGTGTACCTGTGGAGGTCAGAGGGCAACATGGAAGAGTGTCATATATCTCATACACACATTATAGTGCAGCTGGCAATGATTCACCATTAACGAGCCAGCACCACAGTGTCTTTAAGTAGAGCAAACATAAAACAAGATTGTGTGTTACTAGCTGATAAAAATGTCACTGAAGATCAAGGAACCTAACCTTTTATATTTTCCCTGGAGCCACTGATTTGGAATTCACTTATTCAATGTTAATAATGAGCTTTGACTCTTCATTGTGCAAAAAAAGTCTCAAGTTGCTAAATACAGTGCAGCAGAAAACCAACTGGACTAATAGCCGAACAATGCAGACTCATCATCGAGAGCTCAGTCTCTGAAGCTGGCTGTGGGGTCAGCATTGTGATGCTGTGTAAGGGCCACAGTACTCCACTTCTGAAACTATAGTTAACAGTACTCACTTTGAAGAATTCCCATTCTTTCTTCTTTGTTATTAAAATCTGGTTGACTGCTTCCTTGTTTCAACTTAGATAAGACAGTCTTGTGATACCTAATAAAACAGGAGAGCTTGAAATTAATTCCAGAGACTGGAGAAGGCACAGAGGGACACGACCCGTCACTGTGGCTGCAGGGGCTTTCCCACTGCTCTGCTTCTCCTGCTCTCTCACTCAGTGACCCACATTAATCTTAAGATTTCTACTGTAAACTTCCCTTTATTTCAGCTCAGAAATCATGAACTTCCAAACACTCCTTAAATTACAGATAATTCATTTTCCTTCTCTCCTGTGGCTTCTAAATCATTTTCTGCAGAACTTTGAAAATTCCTTTATTGAAAATTCGATGGTAGACCACGTACTTTTTCAGCTTCCAAGACTGTTTTTTAAAGTAAGTTTTTACTGGAAACGATGGATGTGGCATATTTTTTTTAACAGCCCTGCAAAGCTAGTATTATTCTAATTTTATATAGAAGCAAATTAGAAACTAAAAAGCAGTGTGCCTGAACTTATACAGGTATGTTAGACCAACCTAAAATGTAGACATTTTATCCACGAAAACACTCTGCACCTAGCAAATCCTTCCTTGCCTTTCTTTTCTCCTAAAATGTCCTACTGTATTGTATTCTACTCTGTAGAATGCTATCCTCAAACTCTTCACCTCTAAGTCTTGCGTCCACCTCATCCCTGCCCCACCTGGGAACAACATTTCTCTCCTTTCTTCAGCCTCCCACCAGTCCCAGTGTTCCGGAGATGGGTCTTCACACCGTTTGATTTTACAGTGCTGGGGACGGCACCTGGGTCCCTACACACGCTAAGCAAGTGCTCCATCACTGAGCTGTCTTTTTGTCTCCTAATGAATGCTACTCCTGCTTCCACACAATCTCAGCCACTCAGGAATGCTACCGATACCATCTTCTATCATTCCTCTGTAATTCTTGCTAGTCATTATCTTTCCAAGTACTTACCATCACTTATGTATCTTTCTTATACCTAGAGGTGTGATTAAGAAATATTTCAAGTCAGGCATTGTGGTGCATGCCTGTAATCTTAGTACTAAGAGATGACTTTTACAGTTAAGTTCCAAACTAGACAGAACTGCGTATTGAGACCCTGTTCCTTCTCCTCCCCAGATATACAGTATTTTTTTGGACAAATCATGCAACATCTTGAATTCTTAAGTCCTAATCACCAATCCTTTCAACACTAAGTTAGCCAACTCCTCCCATATATCTACTTAAGTAACCCAACAGATACCTGAAATCATCTACACACACTTTCTGCATTTTGGACATGTTACATTGTTTCTCACAGCATTTATATTAGATCAGAAAGAGTTTCCAAAAATAATTTTATAGAATTGGGATATGGGACACACATAAGAAAATGTAGCTTCTAATCCTTTCCTGTGCTAGCAGCAAGTCTTTGTTACAATGCTAGAATACCAGAAAAGCTCACATGCTCCATATCTCTTAGTCTAATAGCCTATTAGAAATTATGTAAAATATTCCTAGATTCAGTATCAAAGTCTTTATAGCTGGAAATCCAAAGACATTTCAGGGTTTTGAACATCTGTTGAGTTACAGAGGACTCTGAGCTGTATGGAATCATACCATTTACACGCCAATCTTAAAATATTTAAGTCTATATGAGTTGCTTTCATTAATGATTTTACGGTCAAAGGAAAATGGCACTTTACCTTATTATGGATTCTGTATCCACTAAGGATTCAGTTTCTGATTGTTGGTCATTAACACTTTAAAAGAAAAAAAAAATTCTAAGAATATATACAAGTGGAACTTTGTATAAGAGAAGTACTTGGCACTCAAGACATACTTCAATGCACAGGAAACATCTTGGAAAGGAAGCCTGGTTGGATTAAGAACTTAGACGTCTATTAAACGGTAGCCACCTTTTGCTCAGATGTGTTTAAGGGCACAAATCAAATGTGCCCAAACACAGTCACTCTCCCTACGTCACACTTGATTCCCTTGCACCCTGTCAATTGCTGTCCTGCTGCTCGCCTCTTCCTGGTTTAGTTCCCAGAACGGTTCTGATATTTGCTTGATTACCAATTTCAACCTTATTTCTAGTTTTCTCCGTAATTAGTACTCAGTTAAATTTTTCATATGTGTCTGGTAATGAGCCAGGCATGAAGGATCCTGAGGTAATTAAGATGTTCAAAGCTAATCAGGACCCTTCAACACGGTCTGGGGTGCAACCCAGTGGCAGAACGCAGAACATTTGCTTAGAATGTATAAAGCTTAGGCTTGATAAAATGCACACACAAACAAGTGTGTGTGTATGTGTGTGTGCACACCAAACAAGCAAACAAAAAACCTGAAAGCAAATAAATAAAACACACACAAAAATACTAAGAATTCTTAGTATTGTAATAAATACATAATTTATTTCCAAAATCAGGCTTATCATGGATACACTGTGGAAGCACAAACCTAACAATTCTAATCAGAGACCTAGGCTTTTGTTTTTTAGTACAACATATCCTTGAAAAATATAGAGAACATTATCCTAAAATACCAGAATAACTTAATATATACCAAAGGAAAGCAGGATATAACCCCAATAAGAGGCAAAAATGAACCAGGTTCCTAGTTTCAACCTCATTTCTTAAGTACACTTTCACTAAAAATAGCAAATAAATATATACACATTAAACTGGCATTTTCTCACTACTTACTTTGCTTACCATACAATCTGTGTAAATTATGAAATAACCTTATAGTACTCTAAATATTCAAACCATCAATTAGAAAATACAGCAACTACTCAATTATTACTTTAATAATGGCTTACTAGCATCACTTATGTTAAAGACAAAATATTCCTAAGACCTTAAAAAAATATCAAGAGTGTCCAAACCTTTTCCCTCTATTCAAATGAACTTCAGTTTCTGTTTCAGCATTAGTAGCATTTTGCTTATCCTCAGAAGCTAGTGTCCTTGCTTTCCCATTTTCCACTACCTTTGTTGCTGCCTTAAGGAAAAGGTTGGATATAGAGGGGAAGGAGAAAAAAAGAATACATTAGGAACACATAATCTTTGACAGCTGCAGCAGAAATATCTGTTCATAGGCTAACAGAAGGAACCTAATTATTTTCATGATTCTGATAATGGTGGCACTCCCCTTCCTACTGCTTGGGTTATATGCATTACGGGAGGTTTTTTTCCTCTTGTAAATACAATCTTCTCTAGGCAATTTTCAACAAAAATGTTAGTGGCTGGAGACATGCCTTAGCAGTTAAGAGCTTTTCTGGCCAAGGACGAGGTCAGTTCCCAGGACCTGTATTGGGTGGCTCACACCGCTCCAAGGAATGTGAATCTGTCTTGTGGCCTCTGCTGCACACATATACAATGTGTCCACATTCATGTACACACCTAAATACCCTGAAGTACAGTTACCTCAAATCAATGCAGATATTTCACTTTAACCACTCACTAACTTAAGACCTGGTTAGATTTTAAGACTTTCTGTTTCATCATAACACTAATGAATGTATACCTTCATTAGAAAAGTTGATGATTTTTCATTTAGCACATGATCCACGTAACACTTGATTTTCTCCATCATGCAGTTATAGCTGAAGTGTTGAAAAAAGGAGTGGAGTGGATCTTTCTGAGAGATTATCCTGAGTAATTTCCTCCCTAAAGGCTAAGGAAAAAACAGAAATGTATTAATATAAAACAAATTTCAAGTAAGCATATATCTGATTGAAAAACAATTATTTTGTAAATATAAACTCAGAGATACAATTAAGAGTTATAATAATGTTTTAAAAGATCCATGTATTTTCTTCCTCCTTTTTAATGCCCCTACATTTCTGAATGCTTTGTTTCAGACAAATATGAGGAAACAGAAATTATAAACTTAACTGTCCACTACCCAGTTTAAAAACAAAACTATGTTTAAATCTGTTTGCTTCCATAATCTGACTGGACCCCCTTTCTCTGTCCTGGCCTATGATTTCCCCCAGAACTCAGACTCTGCTCTCTTTATAAACTCCTTGGGGCTGAAGTGTGCATAGCTTGTCAGCAGCAGAGTGCTTGTCTCGTCTGAGCAATAACCCGGGCTCCATTCTCAGGACTGCCACCCCCTCCAAAGCAAAGGTCTTTACATGTGTACAACATATTGACACGCCTGTGGAGAACACTCTTGTTTTCCAGTGCGTATGTGGTGCATGTGTGCTCCTCCATTCCTGTACCAGTGTCAAGGTCTCATCTTCCTCTATTGCTCTCCATCTGGTGTCTTTAGATAGGGTATCTCACTGACCCTGGTCCCCACTGGTCGGCTAGACTGGCTATCTACTTAGTTCCAGTGACCCTCGTCTCTGCCCCCAACACAGGGACGGATCACAGGTACCTGCCACCATGTCTGGCTTCTCTCTCTCTCTCTCTCTTAATTATTTATTTTTTATTTTACCTGTCGATCCCAGTTCCCTCTCCCTCTTACCCTCTCTGCCCCCTCACATGCACCCTGACCACCCCACCCCAATGCCACGTGACTGGCTTTTTATGTGGGTGTTGGGAACCTGAGTGCGGGTCTTCATACTTTTGCATGGCAAGCAATTTAGTTCATTGCAGCATCCCTGAAATCCTGTGGCTTTAATCTTACACACCGTATCATTTGTAAAAGTGTGATTTTCCTGAAACTTGCTATATTTCCCTTAATTCCATGTTCCTGGCAATTACTTATGTTAGTATACAGAAAAAATTATTTGTACCACTGGCTAGTATATTGATCAGTCACCATTTGTTCATTTAGTTGCTTCAAGAATTTAGGTTATTTGCTATTATTGCAATGTTCAAACATTTTCTCTTAATCCTTTTTTTCTCAATACAAATTTTTCTTATAAAGAAGTTGTCTCAATGCTGGATTGTAGGGTCATAAGGCCTGGTGATGGTTCCCAGGCCGGGCCTAAACGCATGCCCCAAGCCTGCCTCGAGTTTGGTGACCTGTCTCCAGGTGCATTTCCATATAGAGATGATTCAGCAGGGCACAAAAGAAACTAACCTCTGCCTGATGACTGGTGATTAAAAACAATGCAATTGGCCCTCCCTAGTCTCTTCACCTACTATCACCAAACTCCTCCCGCTGAAGCTCTGCTCCTACTCTGAAGCCTACTTAAACATCTGCTTGGATCAATAAAAAGAGTTCCTGCCCTGACCAGGCTCCCTCTCGTGTCTGGTGGGCAGGGGCTGGGAGACCAGGGGCTGGGGAAAGGGCGGACAGCACACTCAGCTTTCCTTAGTCCTCTCCTCTGAGGGAGGGATTGCGGAGTGGCGACCCAACCCCGGCCCCACAGTGGATAATAAACAATAAATACTATAGAACTTGAAAAACTTGTAGGCTTGATCCTAGACTAATTGTGTCAGTAAGATCTGGGTTTTTCCTGATTGTCTTTAAAACTTCATTGCTTTTAGAATACAGAGAAAACATAAGTTATTCTAAGACAGTCATCTAGAAATGGAACTCACTGGAATGTGCGCTTGCATATTTTGCTTTGACTCTGTAATGCACTGGTTTGTATTTTAGAGAGGAAGATATGCAGGCATCTGAGCACTCTGCCACCTTCTGGGCCAACTGTTGGTGCCTCCCTCAATGAAAAGTGCTGTCAGTTTGAGAGTATGGGAAACAGCGATTTCTCACTGATCATACCAACACACTGGGGAAGTGGAATAAATTCTCTTAAGTGCTTTATATGCATTAGCTATATGTTTTCCTCTTATGAAACAGAAACAGGGTAGTTTTCATTAATCTAGTAATACTAAGAAAGAAATACACGGGAAGAAAGTCTAACAAAATCATCAGGCTCTCCGCTGAAATTTCTGGGGTGCTATATCCTAGGAGAAGGGTCTTACCTAAACTATAACCTACTCAACTAGGCTAAGTCAGTCATTAATTATGCAGACATAATTAATATAGCTCCTCAACTCTATCTACAATCTATCTATGAAGACATCAAATGGCATTCTGCCTTCAGCAGTTTTCAGTCAAATTAAACCCAGAATAATAGTACTATTTATTTGTATGACGAACTAAAATGAAAACCACAAATAAGGTCTATAGAGCAACTGTGTTAAATACACAGAATAACTATAGACAGCAACTACTAAAACTTAATGTTACTTGATAAGTAAACAGCAAATAAGTACAAGTGAGCATGTCTAGCTATCACTCAGGGATTTTACTCCTAAATACACAATGAACAAAAGTGAATAGATCTGCTCCACAAGACATATTAAAGTACTTTACAGAAAAGAATGAAATAACTTAAATGTCCAGCATAAGAAAGATAAGTTGCTACGTACTCACAACAAGAAAAAGACAAAAACAAACTATTATAACCACAGCCTTGTATATGCTCCATTATAAAATATATTTTCAATGGGAGAAGGATGGTTAGTTGTTATTGTTAGGGAAGGCTTCCTCAAATGACCAGAATTGAATGAGGTTCTAGGTTCCTATTTTAAAATAGTCTCAAAAGATCTCTCTCTCTCGCCACACACTCACATCCATGAGCTCGAGTGCAGGATTGCAGGTATGTGCTATACCATGCCTGGCTGATCTTTGTTTTTGATGGTGCCAAGAACCAAATCTAGCACTTGTACATGTTAGGCAACTGTGATAGTCTTTTCTAGAGCTCCATGCCTAGCCAGCTAGTTTCCCAATGTAGGGGCTCTTCGCACATGTGTACACTTGGTACAAACATATCAACTTAAATAAATGGAACACATTATTTTCTTCTAGAGGTATAGATGTTCAATAAAAAATATGCTAAAATGTAAGATTATCTTTTCTTTCTTTGAAGATATTTAATTTACCCCAACACAACTGTTTTTTAATATTTTAACAACTAGAGGCCTACTGACTGTATTAACATACATAGACAAACTTCAAATGATCATATAACAAATTCCAGCTGGGTGTGGTATCATTCTTGAGATCCCATCTCAAAAAAAAGAAAAAGGAAAAGGAAGTTTAGAAAATGGGGAAATAAAATGAGGTTGGGATTCTAGAAAAATAAGCAGGTTATTCTGCCTCTCTATATTGATGCTGCCTAATGTGGCAGCTGCCAAACCTACAATGTAGCTTCTAAACCCTTGCAATATGTATAGCAAGTTGGACATACTCTAAATATAAGTACTTGATATACTAAAGTTTTGAATTGATTGTTGTTAGAATTATTTAATATACTGGATTAGGTGAAACATTCCTTTTCTCCTTCAAGTTTCCATTTTCCTCACCCCATATACACAGTTGTAAAATGAATTCTATCATATTAATATAAATAATTACCGTGTGAGATTCTGGATCACAAAATATTCTTTCAAACACTTCTTCTGCTTCTTTAAAGCTGCCACTTTCCATACAAACTGCCACGGCCTTAAAGATGACATATACAAACCTTAAGTTGCTTTTGAAAATATCCAACCATTACTTAACTAGATGCATAGTTAATTCTGAAAGACACCATTTTAAACATTTTTATGCACTTTTTTGATAAAGATATAAAGCAGATTTTCAATGATGAAATAATTATGGCTTAAAAAGTTAAAAAATTCTTGCTAGTCCTATACACATTTACAATGCTATGTTCAGTATCTCTAAGCAGTATAATAAATAGATTAGAAGTAAATTTATTATCCCACTGCTCATTCCCAAATGCTCTAAATTGTGGAGACCTCACACCCACCTCCACAGAACTGCTGTGTGAAGCAGAGACAACAGTGTGACAGAGACCAATGCTACTGTCATCTCAACTGTCTAGTAAACAGTCAGCTTTCTTTAGAGTCCCCGAGACTATGAAAACACACACACATGCGCGCGCGCACACACGCACACTCACACACACACACACATGTGCGCGCGCACACATACACTCTCCTTTTTTCTCAGTTGAATTCTTACATGAACAGGTGTTTTCTCCCCAATGTTATCTCCAGGTCCTAATGTCATTGACAATTTCAATGACAATCATAGGAAACCTCCTTGAGTTTCTCTCTCTCTTGTCAACTTAAGAAACACCAATTTTAAAACTCCTAAACCTGAGGGAAAATTTATAATTAAGGAAGTCTTGCATTAGCTGCAGGTAGATGTTGGACTTTCCTGGCTTCTTATTCTTAAGCAGTTACTATAATTCAAGTCTTAGCATGGTTAAAATCTACAGACGTCTCACAAAAGTCCACACATGGCATGTGTGAGGCCCCAGGCTCAGTCCTCAGAACCAGGATAAACAAGCAAACCAAAGCACCTTCTATTTCCCCTAAACTTATAGTCCTTAGAAAAGAGGAGAACATGAATCCCTAGTTTTAAAGTTTATTTGGTAATTTTTAAGTAGCGACACTGCTTCCTGCAATGTGGAGGCAACATACACCTAAATATGAAATCTAAGTTCTGGGCCTTGAGCTTGTGTGAAGACTAAGAGTAAGGGCCAATGTTCCAATGAAAAGGTATTTATATATAGCACAACTTCTGACACGTTATTTGTAATCGGGATGTTACATGCTTTCATATTTGTGACACTCTCAAATTTCCTGGACTTTGAAGCACATTTCCAGAAAGGGCTGAGAAGACCTGCCCTGAACATGGGCAGCACTATCCCATAGGCAATGGTTATGTTATGGGCTGTGTAGAAAGAAGTAGGCGAATACCAGCTTCCTGACTGTGGACACAAGATGACCAACTACTTCATACTCCTGTGCTACACCTCCCCCAATATGGACTGCATCTTCTCAAATTATAAGCTTCTTCTCTGACTACCCTTTTCCTTTTTTTCCTCAGAAGATTTATTTTCCTTTATGTGTATAAATCTGTGTACATGCACATGTGCAGGTTCCTGCAGACCAGACAGGGAACCAGTTACATGGGTGCTGGGAACTGAACGGTTCCTAACCACTGAGCCATCTCTACAGGCTCTCCTTACATTGTTTCCTGTTGGTATTTTGTTTCACCAGTGAGAAAAGTATTGATACAATAGTCTAGCAAAACAATAAACACAAAGTAATACTCATACCTGAATTCTAATTAAATTCTGTATTTCTTCATTAAGTTTGTCATGTTCCTTTTCTATTGAATCCCAAATCATCAGGGCTGATTCCAAGGGTGTAATACGTTCATCACTTTCAAACTGTGCATCTTTTCAAACAGAAAAGAAAATTAACTGGAAGTACACTCTTAAAAACTTCATTCTTTTTCAAACTTATCAACTATATATTATATAGAGGCAGTTTTCACACACAACAGTTTTGGGAAAGACTTTTCTAAGTTAATTTGCACATACACACAGCACACACACACGCAGGAAAAATAAAACCACTGATCATAAAAATCAGAAAATTTTTATTTTTTTTTAAGACAAGGTCTTGCTATGTAGCACAGGCTGGTTTCAAGCTCCAGTTCTTTCTGTCTTGGCCTCCAAAGTGCTGACAACACAGGTATGTACCACCACTCCTGGCTACCATTTTAACTGTTTTGAAGGTAAAAATGCTCGTTGCAATCACAGGACTATATTTTAAATTCTGTGGGGCAGGAACCATTTACTAGCTATATTCCTCTAAAGCTCCTGTTTCATAGCTGTTTTGATTCATTTCAACTCAAATATAAAATAATTGAATATATTCATGAGAATTTTAAAGCCGGGTATAACTTCATACACTAAATAGCACATCCACATTAGCAGTTTCAAGGATTTTAATTTTCTGTTGGCCTCTTTTGGCATTTCCACTCTTTTGGCATTTCCAATATATCAGATTTTTAAAAAGTTATTCATTTATAATCCAAGTTGTGTTGAGTACTTAAGATACAAAGAAAACACCACCATGTATGGTGACTCAAGTCTATAATCCCAGCACTTCTGAGGCTGAGGCAGAAGCATGACTCACAATTCAAGTCTAGCCTGGGTAAGACCTTGTTTCCAAACAAACAACAATTCCTGTCCATATGTACTTCACGTATACACAAATGATGTGGACAAGCCAATGTACTTTCCCAGAAGTACATTATCATGGCAGTGGCTCTCCATGTTGGCTCTGCTTCTGAATCATTCAGAAATTTTCAAACATACGGATGACTAGGCACATCTGGAAATTGTTTAAGCTCTAGAATATGACCTAGGGATGTAGTTCAGTAGAACACTTACTTCACACACATGAAGCCAAGTGCTGTAAGAAGAAATAAGAAAAAAAGGATAATGAGAAAATATCCAAGATATATAGACAGGATGAAGTGGACATTTGGGGAAGCTGAGATGGAATGTGAGGCAAAGGGACACAAAAGACATTGTTACTAATAAAGGAAGCTTATCAAGCAACTCTCCTTGTCCTCTCAAGTAGGACTGGGAGAGGTCACAGCTAAAAGTGGGAGAGGCAGACACCAGGACCCTTCAAGAGCACTTACAGTGTGTCTCAAGGAATGGGTAGGTGATCTCAGCAGATGGCATGACCTTGTACCCAAAAAACCTGAATAACTTTACCACAAAACACCTGGACTTGATAACCCCTTTTAGTCAAGTAGCAGAACATAAAATCAAAATGCAAAGTTCAGTAGCTTTCCTTTATACCAATAAGTGTATTGAGAAAGACATCAGGAAAAAAAAATCATGATCACAATAAAGTACCTAGGTCTAAACCTAATCCAGGAAGTAAAAGATGTGTACAATGAGAAATTTAAGATGAAGTAGAAGACACTAAAGATGAGAAGACTCCCATACTCACAGACGGACTGTAAAAAATGGCTATCGTTATGACAATGATCCACAGATTCCATGTAATCCATAAAAATTCCACTTCATTTTTCATAGAACTGGGGAAACCCCCTAAAGTTCAAGTGGGAGAACAAAAGACCCAATAGGAAGCAGGGTGGGCAAAGCGACAGACAGGGGTCACATAACCACCTTTGCTCTACAGGAAAACTGGTGGGAAATGTAAAACCATGTTGCAAAGGACAAGGAGTAGGCACGGAAGCAATGACAAGGCGCGCCAGAGCTGTGCAGAGGGTCCTCTGGCTGCTGGCTGAGCTGTACCTGTTTCCTGCTTTCTTCCTAGGCTTGCTTGGACGGGGTCTGAAGATGTGGTAGAGTAGGCAGTATTTTACAGGGGAAAAGGGAAATAAAAGTTTCTGATGGGTCCCTAGACATTGGGTTGGCAGATTGGAAACTAGAGAAACTGACAGTCCATGACTGGCTTTTGCTCCAGACTTTCAGTTTTCCTGAGCTGCCGCTCATGCTGGCATGAGCTTTTTGTGATGCAATTGCCTTTTGAGTTGTCCACTATCCTGTAAGTAACTACACTAAGCCAATTGTTGCTATCAGTGTTACTATGGTTTGTCATGGGTTCCATATTGTGGGAGATGGTTAATCTCCCCAAGGGATAATATCAGGCAACAAACCATGGAAATAATGAACCATGAAACTAAGAGAGACAGATTACAACTATAAAGTGTGTTTTCTTGTAAGGACAAAGTTTGAATAGGTGCTAGAAAACAGTGTATGTATGGTAGCTGTCATCACTAACTTATATAAGAAAACTTCAACTGAAATCTCCTGCAGTCTATGAAATGTAGCCCTCCCACTAAAACATCTGAATCATCCATCTGGGAGCCAAACTCATGGTGAAGCAGAATGGCTCTACTGTTTTAAGAAGCCCTTTAAATGATATGAAGCAGGCCAAAGTTTGAGAGTCATCATTCTAGAAAGATAAAACTGCATTTCTTTATTTGCTTTAGACATGCTTATATGCATGCCAGATGCAGGTAGGCAAACTTTCTCTTCCTCCCAAAAGGAAAATATAGCACTCACCAGTTTCTCATGTCTTATATTTAAACATAAATTAAAAGATTTCTAATATAAAATAAAAATTTGTATTTACCAAGAGATTTTCCTGCTGCAATTCTTGTCAAAAACTGACATATATATACAGTTCTCAATTGGTAAGCTGTAAGACTAGGTAGTCCATGAATAATAGCTAAAAAAGAAAAGACTTGTATTAAAATATTATCACAACCTAACAGCCACAATTCAGTGTTAACTGCTAGATTATAAACACTTGGGAAGGCTATTCTTGATTCTCCGCTTAATACATTTAGAGTTAACTCAAACAAGCAAACAAAATGGTTGGATATACCTAGGAGCGATTTTTCTGCTTAATTGGACCATCTCAAGTAGGAAGAGCCACTTCTAATCAGAATTTAGGTGGGAAGACAAACTTTTAATCTAGATCTTTGAGGTAGGAAGATCCACCTCTAAATCTGGGCCACATGTTTTGCTGGAAGCCTATATAAAGGACATGGAAGAGGAAAGCTCTTTTTGCCAGCTTCCTCTCACCATCAATAAGCATCCCTTCACTGACATTAAAGCCTACTTTTTGAGGATTCCCATATATACGGAAGAACAGCTGAGACATCAAGCCTCATGGATTGAACAATTACTGGATACATAGGCAGGATTAGCTGGACCACAGCCTGTAAATCATTTTAATAAATCCTTTTCTATATGTAGATTTATCCTGTAACCTGTTACTTTAGAGAACCTTGACTAATATAACACTCAACAAAAACTGATCATAAACTTAGAACTACAGATTCTAATTATTAAAATTTTAAAAACTCAGAAAAGCTTTGTTCTTACACAATGTAACTTGAGAAATACTCGAAAAATTTTTATAAGTACAAAAGATTCACATCTAAATTATAAAATGCATCAAACTTCTACTCTGAAATTTTATACTATGACATTCTTTTTTTTTTTTTTTTTTTTTTTTTTTTTCACGACAGGATTTCTCTGTGGCTTTGGAGGCTGTCCTGGAACTCTTTGTAGGCCAGGCTGGTCTGGAACTCACAGAGATCTCCCTGCCTCTGCCTCACGAGTGCTGGGATTAAAGGCGTGCGCCATCAAGTTTGCTCCATTCATAAAGATTGATTTTTTTTAAAAAAAAAACATTTATTTCCCAAGTATTTGTATACTCACGAAGATGCACTTAGCAGTGAATATGTATACTGGTAAGCCAACCATATTCCTGGATCTCTCTCACATACACAGGCCAGAGGATAAACTTGGGTCTCATTCTTCAGGCACTATCAAACCATTTTTGTTTTTAAACATTTAAACAAAGATTTATTTTTATTTTATGTGTATGGGTGTTTTGTCAGGAAACAACATTAGAGATACCCTGGAACTGGAGTTACAGACACTGCTGTGGGAATGCTGAGAATAAGCCCACCTTTTCTGGAAGAGCAGTTAAGTTCTTAGCTGCTGGGCCAGCTCTCTTCACCCACCCTCGCTAGCCCCTGTAAACAAGGCCTTCCATTGGCCTGAAGCTTGCCAAAGTAGGCTAGGCTGGCTGGCCAGCAAACCTTGTCTTCCCAGTGTTATGAATACTAGTGTGTTAAGTTTTTTTTTTTGTTTTGTTTTGTTTTTTATGGGTTCTGGGGATCAAACTAAGGTTCTTGGCTTGCAAGACAAGCATTTACAAGCTGAACTATCTCCCTAGGTAACCCCCTCAATTATTCTATAATCTGGATATAGAAACTATCTGCTATAGTTTGGAGTGATGGTGTCTTTTTAATGCTCCTTTGAAATCAGTGTGATCGCTCCCAGACACACTGCTCTTAACTTAAAATAACAGGGGTAGTTGAGATTATGCCTCGTTTGAAAAATTGCCAATGTTGCTCTTTTGCTCGACTAGGAGCTGGGCGTCACAATGAGGGGGATTCATCACAGTTCCAGGTGCAAAACATCCAGAACTGCGCAGGACATACCTCTTCTATGCGCTGATTGAGTCAGATAAGTGTTACAACGACACAGAGCCAGCATACTGCATAGGTATTCACTAGACAGGAGTTCACCGTGATGTTTCCAACGCTATCACCATAGAGCAAGTGCAGCCCATTCTCAACAGAAGCATGCCGAAGTGACTTCATTTCAGGATTTAAACTTTTCTACTTAAAGTCAATTACCCACGCCAGGGCTCCAGTTTTATCTGTGAGGGAACTTTCTTAAACTGTTATGTGACACACGGATTGGGAGCTCCCCTCTTAATTTACCAGTTCCTCAGATCAACCAACTCACTTCTCTAGAAATAACCCGAGTGCTATTAGAGCTGAGATGCAGTCTGTCAATACGGCTTTCTGGCAGGGTCTGGCTTCACCGCCACTGGCGGGCTGTCTGTCCCCAGTGTGTGTGTGTGTGTGTGTGGGGGGGGTGCTTGTAAGTTACCGTGCCAATCGACTAACGGGTTCTGAGCTGGCGAACCAGGCTGCGGGACGCCTGGGTGGTAGAAGGCAGTGGCAACTGGACTGGCTTCCATTTCCACCACGTTAACCCACCGTGCCCTTCCGTCGGGCCCGACAGGGGCACTGACTGGGGGCGGGGTCCCAGCTAACGGGACGCAGCCCCCGGACCGCGCTCACCTTCCGCACTGTCGCGAGTGCGGCGGAAGTCCTCGGAGCGGCCGTCGCGGAAGGCTCGGCACAGGGAGAGGCAGAGGAAGTCGAGCATCCAGCCCGCAGCCACGGCCTCCGCCTCGGCCACCAGCTCCGCGTCGTCTCCTGCCGGCTCCTTCATCTCCCTCTCTGGAGACTCCGCATCCTTCCGGCCCGCACGAGCCCGCGCGTCCTGGGCCGCCGAGGCCACAGCCGCAGCCATGTTAAACCGAACGCGCGCGCAGGCTCGCGCCGGGCGCCGATTGGCTCGAGCGTGGCGTGGAAGCCAGCCAATCGCACCGCTAGGATGGGGCTGGTGGCTCGATCTTAGCTTCCCATTGGCTGGGATCTGACAAATTGCCTGTCAGTCTGAGGCAGGGCTTTCACGATGGAGGAGCTGCTGTGGGGATAGGCTAGGATTAAAAACAAAAAAAAAAATTTAAACGCAGTCTGCGCTTTGGTTTTTAATGGAGCGGGTTTTTGCTTGCAGTTTCTGACTTCTTGGCGTCGCGAGTCCGTAATCCCGGAAGCACTCGGGAGGTGGAGGCAGGAAGATTAGGGATTCAGGTTTATTGTCAGCAGAGTACAGGTCAGCCTGGGGCTCGTGGGGGAAAAAAAAAGGTAATTAGAACTTAGAACTTGCCACCATTTTCCAAATGTAAACACGAGTACTTATTTAACCCAGTTACAGCATGATCACGCAGAGTGTTCTTTCCACCCTGAACGTTCATCTTATCGACATCCGGGGCTTATTAAAACACATTGCTGGGCTCCGCTTTCGAGTTTTCTGGAATTCTGGCTGGGATTTTCAAGTCTAGTGAATCCCCACTGATGCTCAGGCCGCTAGTCTGAGGACCACATATGGAAGACTACTGCTGTACAGTGTCCGCATTAACTGTGTTTCCATCAGGCTCTGAAACGAGAATGCGTCTTGTGTGATATTAATTGAATGCCCCTCATAATTATTGCTATTACTGTACTATTGAACGACACCACAAGTCACTGCATATTTATCTTGGTTTGGGTAAAGGTGGGCGATCTGGTTATTTTTCTCTTTAACTGTAAGTACAGCAGAGTATATACAAGTTGTGAAGATTTACCTAAATGATTGGTGCACTGTCAGATGTCAAGGAAGCCTGGGTCAAGTCTCAGGAAGTACCTGTGGCTCCTCCCAGCATTTCTTGCCCCAGCCTCTTACCCTAAACTAACCCTCTCTTCCCCTAGCTTCTGATTGTATTTTTTTGTGGTCTGATTTTGGGGCACGGTCAGGGATTGGTGGGATTTCAAGCCCTGGTCCTGGGGTCAAGTCAGGGTCAGGGTGTTTTTCCTTGACCCTTTTCACCCTACAAGAAGTGCTTCTAGCTACATGCTAGCTTGTTGTTCCTCTCTGTTAGGGAAGAGCAAATGAGCCCCACCTAAGAAGTGCTGCCTCAAAGGGTGGGTCAGGTGGGAGCAAAAGGGAATTCAAAAGCCTTTCTTCACAGACAGCTACTCATATAGTATCTAACCCTGGGTTGCGGATGAAAAAGCAGAGGAAGCCTTTGTAGGGCAAAAGGGCCAGCCAAAGAACACACCCTGACCCTGAGACCAGAACCAAAGAGACATACTCACTGACCAACTCAGCACAAAACCAACCAATCCCGAAGTGTGAAATCCAGCCAACCTCTGAGCTTGTCCAAGCTCAGAGATTGAAACTCGACCAATTACCACCCTGAAATCTTCACCCTGGAAAGACCCCTCCCCTAAGAAGCCCTATACAAGCCCTGCACCTGTTCAGTTGGGAGCTGCCATTTTCCACCCTGGTGGAGGCAGCCACCCTCCTGAATTTTTCCCTCCCAATAAATCTACTGAATGAGATTTGGGTGAAGCCTTCTTTTACAGGAATGGAGTGGAAGAGAGAAGGGGCCAGGGCCAGAGCCAGGACCCCTATATGGGGGTCAGGGTCAGGGTCAGTGCCATCTAGGGAACCAGGGCTGGGACCAGGGCCCCCATGGGGGGGCAGAGCCTACCTAGGGGGCAGGGACAGGGACAGGCCAGAGCCAGGGCAAGTGCCAGGGCCAGGACCCCCCATAGGAGGGGCAGGTCCAGGGCCACAGAGAGGGCCTGGGCCAGGGCCAGGCTCTGCAACAGCTCAAGGTCCAGCATAGGGGAGCCAGGACCAGTAGCCCCCTAGGGGTGCCAGGACCTCCTACAGCCCCAAGGCGGCAGTCCTAGAGGTGCTATGGCCAGGGCAAGGGGCCCTATAGGGGAACGAGGGCTGCCCTAGGGGTGCCATGGCAAAGGCTAGGGGGCCAGGGCCCCCCAAGTTGCCTCAGGGCCACCCCAGGGGCACCAAAGCCAGGGCTTGGGAAAGGGTCAGGGCAACCCTAGGGACTCCAGGGCCAAGGCCAGGGGCCCCCTAGGTGGCCAGAATCAAGGCCATGGCCAAGGCTCCAGAAGGGTTACCAGGGCCACCCTAGGGGAGAAAGGGCCCCCTTAGGGTCACCAGGCCCCCATTAGGGACACAAGAGCCAGGACCAGAGCCAGAGCCTCCCTAAGGATGACAGGGAAACCTAGGGGCGCCATGACCAGGCAAAGGACCAGGGCCTAGGCCAGGACCAGGGCCTACATAGGGGTGTCAGGGCCAGGGCTAAGGCCAGGGCCAGAGCCTGAGCCAGTGCCAGGACACCCCTAGGGGCACCAGAGACGTTCTAGAGGCATCAGGGTCAGGGCAAAGGCTTGGGGAGTCAGGGTCCCTCTAGGGGCCACAGGGACCTGTAGGAGCACCAGGGCCAGAGCTTGGGACAGGGCCAGGGGAACCCTAGGGACACCAGAGCCAGGGCCCCCCTAGGTGGTCATAGTCAAGGCCATGGTCAGGGCCGCTATTGGGGAACCAGGGCCCCCCTAGAAGCTCGAGGGCCCCTCTAGGGGCACCAAGTCCAGGCCCAGGGCCAGCGCTAGGTCCCCCTAGGGCTCCAGGTCTCCCTTAGCACCAGAGCAAGGGCCTGGGCCAGGAACAGGAACAGGGACCCAAGGCCAGGGTCCCCCTGAGGGTCACCAGGGCCAGGGGCCCCCTTAGAGGTGCCAGGACCAGGGTCAGGGCCCCCCTTATGGGTGCCAAGACCAGGCCTAGGGCCAGGGCCCCCATCAGGCCTGTGCTGGTAATGCCTCATAGCCCTATAGTCACCCGATCAACATGCAAGGTGAGAGGGTGCTGACCAATCAGCACAGTTGTCTGACCAAAAGACTGGTGATGTCGCTGTGGGCGATGCTATTATCAAGGGCTTTGCTGTGATTTGAAACAGCAATAGCTACTTTATGGAATTCAGAGCTTTCAAGCAGGGACTGGGAGGTACTCAGTGACAGAACACCAGCTTAGCATATAGGAAACCTTAACCTTGATCCCTAACACCACCAAAGATAATTTAAAAATAAAAACAAAACGCAAAGCCTTCAAGCAGGTACTTGGTGCTTTATTTTGTCTTACCTCTTGTTCGCAAACTTCGTTCTCTGCATGTCGGCCTCTTGAATGTTATCCAAGCAAGCCTGTCTCCCCAGCTGCAGAGCATCCCCATCTCTGCAGGGTGTTCCCCATCCACAGTTTTGCCTCCTGTTTCAGGGTGTAATTGACAGGCATCTGGCACACAGTTTTGTGAGCATCCTCTTTCCCAAGTCTAGCTAGCTGATGCTGTTTGGAGCTTGGTTAGGATCATTCTGTCAAAAAAAGAAATGCTTAAAAACCCTTCCCTCTTAGATGGGGAAGGAGAACTAATGACAAAATATCATAATGACAGTCTTTCCTGGCGAGAGGGAAGTTTGTTGATGAGTGTCTGTGACAGCTTATTTTCTCAGTCACATGACTGGGCTGTTCGGTATTCTTGCTGGCATACTGATTACTCCTGCCTTATAAATGCTAATTCGGGCCAAAGTTAGAGAGCTTGTTGTAGTTTACCTTCGCCTAAGATGCAGCTACCAAACCAGCTGGTGTTCTGAAAAAAAAAAAAAAAATGGTAAATCTTGTGGGGAAATGGCAGATATTGTCCAAAAATTGTGACCCTAACCCTAACCCATAAGACATTTGAAGCTCTAAGAGAAAACCTGGTATGGCACCCCAAGAATTCCCCAGTATCCTTTGGATACTGTGATCTGTATATTTCTAGTTTGTGTTAATTATTCCACAATAGTTCTAGTCAATGAATGGTTGTTGATTGTTGCATGAGTTCCTTTATTCGTGGCTGTGACAAAATACTGACAAAATGAACTTACGAAAGCTTACAGAAGGGATGGCCTGTCTGGCTCACAGTGTGCGGTGAGGGAGGACATTAGTGACAGGAGCGTGAAGTAGCTGTCACACTACATCTGCAGGAGGAGAGCAACGGGACAGGAAGACAGGGATGCTGGCATGCTTGGCTCTTCCATTTGTTAAGTCTGTGATTCCAGCTCATGGACTGGTGATGCCCACATTGAAGGTTGTTCTTCCTACCACAATACCCCAATCCAGAAACTCCCTCAACGACACAGTCATAATTTGTCCACTAGGTGATTCTACATATTCTCCAATCTGTATGAACTGTAAGTACTTACTCTATCCTAAACATTTGACCCCAAGGAAGATGTGAAAAATAACAATAAATTTAAAATTCCATGAGATACCAGCCCTTTTGACTTATACATTATTACAGACTCCCTCAATAATAAATGAGAGGGAAAAGTGTAACAGATCTATTTAATCAATATTTTACATGACCCCGGAGCCCTCAGAATGAAAAGCAAAGACGGGAAGGTTGTCGTTTTTATACTTAGGCTCAGTAAAGAATGGACAGCTGTTCAGAACTATAATTAGACAAAAAAGGGAGGAGCTGATGTGACCGGCTGAGGGGGAAACCAGCCAGGTCTGTGTATCAAGATTCTTCCCAATCTTTCTATGTAGCATTCCTTCCACCCAGATGTAAGACAGGGTACTTTTGGAATGGCTTATCAGATAGGAAGGCTGGAGAATTTCTTCTTACCTAGACAGGAGGGGGAGGGGAGGGGAGCCATATTCTTCGGCTTGGGCCTTGTGTAAGAGAAAAGGAGGGCTAGAGAGATGAGTCAGTGGTTAAAAGCACTGACCTGAGTTCAATTCCCAGCACATGGTAGCTCACAACCACTGTAACTCCAGTTCTGGGGAAGCCAACCCATTCTTCTTACTTCTGTGGGCATGTGGAACACATACATGTGCACAGACAAAACATTCACATACAT